AAAGGGAGAAGTAAAACGCTGGGAAGCTTTGTCTTTCTCATTTAGGCTGAGTGAGCGTGTCAAAAAAGGACCTGCAGTGGCGTCTTTCAAACCACAAAGATGGTCCACGCGCACATGCAAATTTGCACGCTGTCAGAAGTACAGACCAATATCAGAACGGTTGGCGAAATCTCAGGCTAGTGTAGGTGGAGATGGGCACCGTAGTAAGAGATCCGTATCAGAAGCGTAGCACGCTCCCAGTAGAGTCACACCCCATGTTTCCACAAAATAGCGGAATGCTGTTTGGGGAATGACTAAGAATAATGAAATTCCATGGCTCCTTCAGATGCACACATCTTATGGCAAAAGCGTATGCCTTTTAGTTAAATGTGTTAGTCAGAAAAGGTGCTAGCAGACTTCTGATTTTTTGCCACCATGAGCTAACGCGGCTCTCCTCTGCCAGTGAAGCAGCCATGGAGGTCTAAAGCCTCAAACTTGAAATCATCTTGCTCAGAACTGGGGCCCTCCAGCGGCTTTAATGGTGGGAATTCAGGAGGATGTTTTTATACTCAAGTTACCCAAGGAGAAAAATGGCTTGGTTTGTAACCCCCTCTCCCAAGCTCATGGACTGGCATCCCAGTCCTACTTTGGAGATAAAGAAGAAACAGAAACCAGGGAAGCTAGGGTTTGCCAAATTCAGACTGGAAATGGGCACTCTAAAAATGGCAGGGGTTGCTATTTGCCGTAAAAGCTTCCACGGTGATGGAGCTGATTGGCCAAAAGTAAAAGGGCAAATTGAAAAATGGGAAGGAGAAGAAACAAAAATGATGCCTAAGTGATACTAATTGCCCGTTAGAAGAACTGAAAAGACTTGGCAATCTGATAGGCATTTGAGTAGCAAGCCGTTCCCTGGGAGTAAATCTTTTTAATAAATGGGAGGAAAGGTAAGGACCAAGTGGCTTTCAGAATAAAGTGGACTTTGGGGTTTTTTTGATAGTAATTTTATTAAAATTACAATTACAATTAAAAAGATAAAAACTAATACAAACTTTAAAAAAAAGAATAAAAAGAGAAAAAATGGTATTTTTTGGTGGTTGAACATGGAAAGTGTTGATCTGCTCTCTTCCCACCTTGCTCGCAGCCTGGCATGTTCCATATACCCCAAGCCAAGCTTTCCCATTTAATTCTGCCAGTTGTATATCCTTCACCTCTAATAGATTTCCTTTCCTCCCATGGTTTTCGATTTCCATATGTTCACTAAGATCCACGCAGACCAAACACTGTGAAGGTGGAACAGAAACATTAGCTGCTCTTGTTTTCTTGCTTTCAGCAAATGAGGCTGCTCCGAGCTCTGATACACCACTGGGGTTTCTTTTTAAGTTTATGGATGTTAGCTTGGATGGACCCGACTGAAGACAGCATTATAGAAGGAAGTTGGACTGACATCTTGCCTTCACTGCTTTATGCTTTTTTCAGCCAGCACTTAAAAGCCAAGGGTTTGTTAAATCCTTACTCTATATATTACAAAGAGGGGGAGGTTAGGATTTCCTATCTGGAAACCTGAATTTCCTTATGGAAAATGTAGCTGTTTTGCTTCAACAGTTCTGCATTAGAGGGATTACAGATGCAACCTGTAACCAAATGTTCTGGACGTCCTCCTGTCCTGAGAGTGATGCTCTCTGTTCATGGCTTCCCCGGGAAGTTCCATTCCATCCCTTTATCTTTTCTGTTCTTACAGGGGCTTTTACCCCCCCAATGGACACAAATATCCCATGGCTTCTGGTATGTCAGTTTCAGTTGAGCTAGGCAAACATGTTTGTGGGTTTGTGCATGTCTCCTTTGGCTGCATCAGAATCAGCATTATTTGAGGGAGTGCTAGAAGTTTAGGCTTGTCGTTGTTATTTTGATGTCAACATAAAATTTACCCAGCCTGGATATATATTGTGTTTACCTGTCCTCCTATAATATCAACTTAGCATTTTCCAGATTAGATGTATGTAGACAAAAAAGCAGCTGCCCCAATTTTTTTATTCCCTATTCTGAGAGAGAATGAGCCAGCACATTTTTTCACTTGTTTCTGCAGTTTGCTAAGGTGCTCTCCAATCTGCCTCATTTCCAGTTTTTCCAAAGCTTGGGGAGCTTTGAAATGTGCTGAGAATGGTCTACGGCTGGGGTTAATTTCTTGTTGATGGTTGTGACCTCCTGTAATGGTGTGTGGGAATGACCTTGGGAGACCGGTGGGGGCCAGGAAGAGATGCTGCCTAGGGAATGGTCAGATAAGAGGGGTCATAGCCCGTAGCTGCATAACGGCCAGAGAAAGACACTCAGAAAGGGACCTCCCTAAACTTATCAGGCTGTAAAAGAGACAGCGGGAGATTTGTACTTTCAGACTTGCAGGATTCTGTTAATGTAGCTTTACAATAAAGAAGTATTAGCACATCTGAAGCACATTGTGTTTCCTGCCTGGTCTACCTGGGAAGGCTGACACCTTCTGGCTCCTTTTGGACCTTTCGGACATTGTACAGTTTTACCCTTTCCGGCTGAGGATGATGCTGAGAGACGGAATAGGAACCATTTCCGAACGGTGCTGTTTTTTTTACATCTGCTCAGATTGGATTTTTTAGCATTATCTTAGAAAGAAAAGAACATCAGGCAATGGCAACTTTCTCCAGGTTCTGCTTATTCCAAGGGACGCATTTTATCTCAGTGGCATCACGTCATAATAAGGCCTGGAATGAAAGAGCCTCAAATGTGGCAGCTTCCAAGGAGCCGGAATGGCCCCACTGATCTCAGATAACAGATATCTCCCTCCCTTTGGGAAAAATTATTTGTAGGGCCTGGAGCCAAAGGACAAATCTGCCCTCCTTTGTGGAAGACAGGTTTTAAAAAGTGCTCAGACAGAGATCTGCTGCTCTGCCTCACTTCCTTTGCCCCCAGCTGATGTTCAAGGTTTAACTTCTTTGCTTTGAAGCTAGGAGAAGAAGAGGCCTGGTGCCACTTGATGTTCACCAGGACCCCGAGACCCAGGGCGGAAGCTTGTACAATCCAAATGGCCTCCGTTTCCTTCCTGTGGATGCTTGGTTGTGTTGAGGCCAGCCATCTCCTCCTTTCCCCACCTCCTACCTCGTTAATTACTGACATATATTGGTAATTGAATCAAGCATTAAAGGCTAATGAACGGTGTCTGGTCACCTTTAAAGGGAATACCTCTGCGGCTCTGAAGGACCCACCGATGAATCTTTTTCTTTCCCTCTTTTTTTCCGCCAGGAGAAGGCTGTATTTCGGCCTCGAGGTCAGCCCTGATCAGCCGGTAGCTCTTTATGCCGGTTAATAGAAACTGAGCCTGCAGCTTAACAATAATCACTCTTGTCATTCTCAGTTACAGGTGCTTATGGGTGATCCTGTTTCTCCCCTTTGGTTCCCTTCTTTTCCCTCCTCTTCTTTTCTTTTTAGTGCCCTACACAGGTGATTAGCATGTTGTAATTGAGTTGGTTGTAAAAAGGATAATTAATTGGCATTTCCCTCCTCCGGAGGTCAAACTGCCCCGTCTTCGGTCATTACCAAACTAGTCATCCTGCCCCTGACTGCACGCTCTTCCCCAAGGTGATGAGATGATCTTTATCTTGCTGATCAAGACATCGCTGTCATAATTAAAAGAGACATAGATGGAGGGTTTGAGGGGTGACACTTGGGCAGTAGGATTCTCCATGCTTGGTTGAATCATGGTGCCTGGGCTGAGCGATATTTAAAAAGGCCTGGTTGGCCATTGTATGGGAGAGCTTCCTTTGGAAACGTGGGGAAAAGGCATAGAAGCTACTGGAAAAGAAATCCATTTCTTACCCTTGAGCTGTGCAGTTTTGAGACTGGACCTTGGAGAACCTCAGCTGAACTGCCCATCTGAGGGACTGCGTTGCTGCACAAGCAGCCTGGAAGCCCTGGGTCGAAATGCACTTTCCCTGCCCCGCAGCTAACCAGGCAGGTCAGACATCAGCAGCTGCAGTGTCTTTATTGAAAACTATTAGTGCATTAAGAGATGGGAAATGATGCTATAAGCAATCTGGTTTCCATTCGTTGCTCAGAACATAAATGCGCCAGTGCAGCAAAAGCTAATGAAGAGAAATAGAGAGAGAGGTGTTAGAAATGGACGTCCTTGTAAAAAGCACAAGGCTAACTTTCTAAATGGAAGGCCATTTTCATGATCAGACAGAAGGCACCAGGGGGAAGAAGTCCAGCACTGAACAATGCCATTGTCTTTGTTTTAATGGGAGGAGACCTAGGAAAACGTTGAATTTTCTGGAGAGAAGGTGCTGAAAGAAGAACCTGTGGTTTCTTTCAAAGGCCTGGGCCCTTTCCAACATAACTCTGAAAGTTTGCTTATTATGCATTCAGACCAACATATGGCAGGTCTTTGCCCCAAGGAGATTACAACTCTCCTGCTCTTCCTATTCAGAGACCACAAAGAGAAGGGGAGGGAAGGAAATGATAGGAGGAGATAAGAAAGTGTGAAGCAAACAGAAGCAGCCTATATTTGCAAGGCAGGCCCCATAGATATCTCCTCAGAAATGTGGCTTATTCACAAGTAAGGTTCTACAAAGTTGGCAGCCTTATGATTTGGAAATGAAGCTTTTGGACGTCTTGAGGCTCACTGGGCATCCTTCATTCAGTCCTACTCCTTGCAGATTAGGATAAAAGGAGGTGGGTGGGGGCAGGAAGGATAGGATATCAGGGTGTGGCAAGTAGATGACAAAGCCAACTGACCTGGCTGGAATGAACTATACTACTTGGGAAGCTGGTTAATTTTCCCCTGTCACCAAGATTATTCCAGGGGATTTTGATGAAGGAATCGAGCCCTGCGTTTGTACTTTGAGATTTACTGGGAAGGAGTACTTGTGGTAGGCCTCTGGTTTCCCCACCTCCCTGCAAGAAAGTTAACAAGATTTTGATTGTTGAATGGCCACTAAATAAAACAGGGTGTGAGAGGTGCCATCTTTAACTGTGGGTTGTTCTTCTTTATCCCACAGAAGGAAGCCATACCTACGGTTTTCCCCGTTTGCAAAGGAGCAAGCATGGCTGGGCCACTTTCAGAAACATCACCCTCGCCTCTCTTCTGGCCAGTCCGCACCCTGATCCACAGATGGGTGAACTGCTTGAAGTAAGAAAGACCAAATGTGCAGGGGGTAGGGCTGAGACCCAGATTGGAAAAAGGTTCCCCTTTTCTCCAAATCCCAGAATGCCCCCCCCCAGGATTTTCAACATGGGAGAGAGGAGTCCTCCCTCAACCCCTCTCTTTTCCTGGTTGTGTCCCTGCCAGCATCCTCTCTGCAAGCTGTGTGAATCTGCAGGAAGGTCAGATGGCCTGGCCAGCGCCCAAACCCAACATCCTCAAGGCTCTCAGTTGGGCTGGCTTTTGGCACCTGCCCTCGGTCCTCCTGTTTTAGGAAACAAAAAAAGAAATGGAAATCCATTGTTTTGCTCCAAGTGATGCCCGTTGGCCTAGGTACCATTTAAACTTTCCTCAGAACCATGCTTCTCCAGGATATCTCCAGAATTAATCTAATCAGTTAATCAATTGATGCTCCCTTTAAAAAAAAAACTCGGTATTGTAGTGCCTCTTTAATATTGATCTACTGTTTTTCATCCTCCCATCTCTCATCCCTGCAGAGAGAAGTTGAAAAGCAAAGTGCCCAGACCTCTACAGAGGAAATGGAAGCTTCTGCCATGTTTATGGCCAGAAGTAGCAGGTATGTTCATCTTTCCTCTTTCTGAGAAATTGAAGCCGGCCCTGTTTTAAGGCAAACTGAGTTGGGGAGATGCAGATTTGGGTGAAATATGAAACTGCTGCACAAATGGGGCCAAAACATACTCGCTACCTGGAAAGGAGGCACTGGGTACCAAGCCCTTCTCTCCCTTACGATTTATTTCTGAAACTGCTTAGGTTACTTGCAGATTTATTTATTTTTTTATCTTCAGTGTGTCATAATGTGTTTATTGGTTTCTATAAGAAAATAGGTGTATTGTATCAATGTGACTTCCTGCAAAGGTCAAGTAGGATTCCTGTCAAGAGTGTTTGTGAAATTTCTCCATCTTTACAATCTTTCTCCCTCTCTCCCTCCTACAGTTTTTGTGGATAAGCTTGTAGTGACTCCATAATATTTATTCTCTATTTAAATACTTGGTATGCTGTTGTTGACATGTTAACCTGAAATCTCAGCTTTTGTGCACAAAGGCAACCTTCACCTATTCTTCTCCATGAAACCTTTTGTGCTTCTCATTATGAGAGTGCTGAAATTTGCCATAAATCTAGAGGAATTGTATAGGGAAAGGGTCAAACAACACGATGATAGCAAAATGGATTCACTTAACTTTGGTTCTCAACAGGCAAACATGTGACACAAAGCACTTGGCAGCAGCATAATTAAGTTCTGGAGACACCTTTGCAGAAGCAATATAGTTAGATCCTTGACCCACCTAGGATCTTCTGCATGACAGAATTCTTTCACTAACCATGATATCTTCATAGTCAACAGAGGAACCTGGCTTGTTCCAGAACAGAATTACCTGTTTGGTTTGGCTGCAATTTCCCAGTATTTCAGGGAAAGAATTTTCCCATCCTTCTAACTTAAAATGTCTGGACTGGAGCTCAGGAGCTTCAGCTGGCATGGTGACTTTGACTCAAGGCCCAGCTGTAGGTCGTGCTCTAAACCCTTTGTTTTATAGGCCTCTGCAAGCCCACCCATCCTTACAAATTTAGTTTTCCAAGACTCTGGCTCGTCGGTATAGAGATGCTCAGTTTTGGATTACATAGTCAAGATGTAATGTGATGGAAGATCCTTCTTTTTTGTTTATAGTTTTGCATATAGAGACATCAGGAAGAAGTCTAGTCTCACATCTTCCTCCTGGGGAGTTAATAATCTAAATGGAGGGTGATTCATTAATTTATTATAGGGAGAAGCATTCTGCCTGGGGGGGCCTGCAGCAGGTTGAGCCCTCTTGAGACCATGGAGTAGGAAAGATCTGCCTCCACCAATTTTTCACTGAGCTCTGTCGCACACTACCACAAGCATCCGACTGAACCAAGAACACAGAAGCGAGCGTTTTATAGTACCACTTTTAAGTCTTGTTTTTGATCCTGATATCCACTGGAATAACAGCTCATGGCCCTACGGCAGTGCCAGCCAATATTGAGACCAACTGGTTTAGAGGAGCAAGGTAACAGCAGGAAGATTAGTCATTACAGTTCTCTTCAGGAGGAAGAGAATGAGTGACTGGTGTGGCTCCAATTATGTTCCTGCTGGAAGAAAGGAAGGAAAATCACCAGGGAGATCTAATTGGTATCTCATCTGAGTGACAGAAGTGATTGGAGAGGCCTCCCTTTGGCACAAGCGTCCCGGTGATTTGGGCTCTGCGTGTCAGGCAGAAGAGAGCCCTCACCGTCTCTGCTGGGGTAAAGTGAAGAGTGGTTTCCCCTGTTTTGTTGGACAATCCAACCCCATCTGAAGGAGCTGTGTAATTTATGACCTGCTTCCCTCTCCATAAGGGATTCTCCACATTCATCATCTCAATAGTACCACGAAGCAGATCATCATTGCCTGTTTTGAGGAGGGAAAGGTTGTTAGCATCCTCCGTCCCTGAGGTACTCACACCGGTGAGAAAAATGAGGCAGGCTGATTTACTTTGCCGTATGACAAACTTCTGCAAACCAGTGCTACCTTTTTTCCAATCCTCACTGCTGCCTCCTGACTCAAGTCCCCATCATCCTTAGCAAGGATGGGCTGACGGGAGTTGCAAGCCACCATATCTGGAAGGCACCAAGTAGAAATATCAAATAATTCCAAAGTGATCCTCTCCAAGCGTGATCTGCATTCTTAATTTTTTATATTCTTATGTATAACACATGGGCAGCTGGACCAGAGGAAGGGAAATTCAACTGAACTGGCAACCCTTAAACTTCCTGGTCAGGGTGAAACGCCATAGTTACTTTGAAGGTTACAAAGTAACCCGGGTTTGTTTATTGGCTTATTTGTGTTCTATTGTAAATTATTATTATTATTATTATTATTATTATTATTATTATTATTCAACACCATCATGCAAATAAAACAGCCAACGATTTAAAAAACAAACAAAGCAAAAAAGGGCATGAGAGCAAAACCAGAAATCAACAAAACTATCGGTGATATCCTTCTCTCCGCACTTCCCCTTTGCTAGAAATTGACTGTGATGGAGGATTACACACAGTTCCAAGTTTCCTGCCTTCCAAATGGGATCACAAAAGCAAACCAGTGGAACATCAAACATCTCACATTCTGGTCGTCTCCATGTAACCAGTGGGAAAACAACCAAAGATTGTAGAGTTCTGAAACTTCTGTTCAGGGTTCCAGCCAGCCTATGCCCTTTTCCAAGATACTTGATTCCCATTTCCCCTCCTCCTGGTTTTCCATTTGCTTTCCACTCCAACTAACCTTTGGTATTCTCTGGCTCCTAAGCACTAGAATTTTTGAGGATTCTTGTTTCTTGTTATATTTTTTTCCCTAAGGTTTCTGCAATTGTTGTGATTCCACCAAGCCTAGGGTGGCCTCCCTTTGCTCTTTTGGTGGCCCGTTTTGGTTATAGCCTTTTTGGCCCTCACTGACAGAAAGAGGAAATATTCGAATATACAGGGTTTTTTATTGGGCACAACTCAGTTTGACACCTCTGCTTTTGTTGTGTAAGCTTTACTGCACATTTACATTATCTAATGTATAGTTATATTATCTTTGCTCCTTCTACTAAGCCATAATTTCTTAACTATGGTCTGTTAAAGAAGTAACATCTTGCATGGTTCATCGTCTTGTGTGAATTAAGCTACTTGTGGCCCACTACCCTCATTGTTTTTTGCATTTGACAACTGCACTCACTGTGCAGACTTCTCCTGAGCTCTTCATGGGGTGGAGGATCTGCAGAACATCAGACAGAGTTGTGTTTTGAAGAGTAGAGGGACTGCTGGAATAGATTGCTGTCCTGCTTCCCAATATATTAAATGAACAATAAGGAATAAGCCCCAATTTGAGTCTGTAATTTGTGCTGAGTTGAGGTAGTGCTCAAGCTGGAGAAGAAATGGAGAAGGACCATGAGGGGGAATGAAGGAATCCATGACCTCCGGACGATAACAGGGAGGAAGAAATCAACTTGCAATGGAATGTGGTCAGGAAGGCAAAAATCACTGGAAGAGTGATTGCCTGCTTAAAAGAAATCTACACGTAGATTATCCCAAAATGGTTTAAAAGCATAAAATGCACACACATACACAGGTTGGAAGATGAATGGGGAGAGCATAAATAAATGAGAAAGGCAGAAATGTCAATAGCAGCAGGAATGCTATTTAAACCATTTTTTGAAAAGGAGGAATGTCAAACATTAGGAAGTTTAGACAGGCTTGAGTCAACTTTCTTCTCTCTCAAGGGCCCGCTCTGATTTGGTTTAACCTCTCTGGGTGCACTTCTGGGTTCATCAGGTCCAGGGCTGATGTGAAGCAGCACCCTCAGACAACAGGTTTAATTTAATGAGGCATCTTGTCATAACTTAAAGCCCCTGCCCCAATCTCTCAAAGACACATCAGTTTCTCAGAGTCACTAGTTCAGCAAGATGTATTGTTGAGGAGGCTTGGAAGTGTTGCTAGCAAAAGTAGCTATAGCTATATCCAGATATGCAGGATGTGCCAGGCATAGGGGTGAAGGCCAGATTTGTGATAGTTATAAGTCCAGCCCGTGCAAGAGTTTAATTCCACCTCCCCGTTGCAGCATCCGAAATCACAAAGTTTCTCCCAAGTCTTGGCCAGTCTAAGTCTTCCATCTGCCTGCCAGCCACACCAACCCAGACACATCCTTTGGAAGACTTTCCAAAATGTTCCTGTGAAATCACAAGGACTCATGCATGGCCAGAGAAAGTCAGCTTCACCTGCTGGATCAATGTTTCCCCCAGGGCCATTCTTCACTTATCACCTGCTAGATTTCAAACAATGCAGGAGGCTTGGAACAGGAATTCCCACATTTCTGGCAAGATTAAGAGTGGCATACCACCATGCCATTTGGGGAGCCGTGTCATGACTCGATTGATTTGCATTAGAAGAGTTGGATTGTGCTGTGTTCTTCCACAGTGTAAGAAATGTAGATATAGAAGGTAATAAAGGGAAAAGCACACATTTCTGTGAAGCTCTGGAGCCTAATTTTAGATATAGTAAATTCCTTCTTTCCAAAATTAAACAGGATTATTTCAGCATTCCAGGCCAGGTTAAGGCACATGGGTTGGAACAACTGCTTTGAAAGTTACTACTTCCCAGATTAATTTCTCCGTGTACTAGCAGCATTGACTTTAAAAAAAAAATCTGTGATTGTTAAACACTGGCTTAACATTATGGGGGTTGTAATCTAGCCCATCTCCCCCTCAGTGGGGTTGGGGAAAACTTGATGGGAGATAAGCAGATAGATATGAAGCCTCAGATCTGGGTGCATGGTTCAGAAAAAATAGAGGGTTTAACAGAACAGAATCCAAATGAGAAGATAGACCTCTAAATGAGCTGTATTTATACCATAGCAGAAGGCCGAGGCCTGGTTTAGTGCAGTCCGTGAATATAAGTGTTAGGACCTCTCTGCAGAAAGAGACAGTTAAAATCAATTAATTTCGGCAACTGCTGTGCCACTTCCATCAAAAATGAATGTAAGTAGCTTACAAGTCCTATAACATAACACTGTGAGCGCATTAG